TTWWTTKYATATGGTGCTGAGGATCGAATCCAGCGCCGCATGCATGCCAGGCAAGCGCGCTACCGCTTGAGCCACATCCCCAGCGCAATATATATATTTTAACTTTGTTCAGAATTGTCCTTGAAAAGTAAAAAATTAATTTCCTTTTATATTCCTTTTTTCTGTATTATCAGAGGTGAAACTAGATTAGTGCAAGTTCAGAAATTTATATCAGATGCAGTTGCAGCTTTTTGATAATTCAAAGGATGGCAAACAGATTGTTTCAGTCTACTGCTGATGATTACTTTTAGATTCAAAGTTTAGGGGCTAGRTGCAGTGTTGCATGCCTGTAATCCTTGTTTCTCAGGAGGCTGAGGCAGGAGGATCGTGAGTTCAAAGCCAGCCTTAGCATTTTAGCAAGGGCCTAAGCAACTCAACAAGACCCTGGTTCTAAATAAAATATAAAAAAGGGCTAGGGCTGTGGCTCAGTGGTTAAGTGCCCCTGGGTACCCCCAAATTAAAGTTTAAGAAAGTAATTGAGGAAGTACGTGGTTTTCTAATGCCTCACAGAGATAGAAGGACCAAATCTGAGAAACTCTGGCTTTTAGCCCAATGCTTTTGAAAGAGTAGGTATAGGACTGGGATTGTGGCTCAGCGGTAGAGCACCTGCCTAGCATGGGCGGGACCCAGGTTCGATCCTYAGCACCACATAAAAATAAAGGCATTGTGTTTTGTCCATCTACACCAAAAAATAAATATTAAAAAAAAAAGAAAGAGTAGGTATATTTGTTACTCAATTTTGTGAATGGTTTCTCTTAATACTTTATTGTGGAGAGGGTAAAGTCCTACCTGAGGAGTAGAGCCACTGGTGCTTTCAGTGTTTACTCCTTAGTAAAATAAAATGAACTCTGTTAGYTTTTCATTTTAAGTAAAGATGGGTAACCAAGAAGAGGGATCTACCACCTCCTTATTGTTATTCATACAGCTTTATGTCTTACAAAGCAGAAAGCTTTGTGCTTTATTTTTATTATAAAATGGCCTAAGGAAGCAAAAGTGATTAAATATTTTAAACTGATATTTCTTTTATCAGCACGTGATGTGGTATAATTGCATCTCCCAGCTGAGAATGGAACAGTAGATTTTAAAAGATCCATAGTTGTTTTTTTTTTTTTTTTTTCTAAAAAAAAAAAAATACAGTGATTCTTCTACACACGGGTATGTCATTCTTGGTTCCCAGAGGGTGTGCTTAATTGCTCTTGAGCTATAAAGCTCTATATTGATATTATTCTTTGTCAGCCATTTCAAGTTTAAGGGCCCAGGGAAAGCCTTGGGTCACCCAGAAATCCCATTATTCTGAATCATATCCCTTGTATCTTGAAACTCTCCTTCTTTGGCAGGACCCTATCCATAATTTTTTTTTTTAGTTGTCAATGGACCTTTATTTATTCATATGCGGTGCTGAGAATCGAACCCAGGGCCTCACATGTACTAGGCAAGTGCTCTGCCACTAAGCCACAGTCTCAGCCCTATAATTTTAAATATGTTAACACAATTAGATACTGTTAGCTAGGAAGATTAGTGCTATTAGCAGGATGCCCAGCTTAATTCTTAGCTTATGAGAATCAGGTATTGCATGTTTATACAGATACACCTTTAAAGTATAATTGGGTCTTCATTATAAATAACTGTTAAAATAAGGATCAGTATTAGCACATGTACCTTAACATTGTCTTGCTAGGATCCCGCTCAATGGCATGATGACTGTGTTGACTAACATAACTTGTATTTTCCTGAAAATTTTCTAGAGACTTAAGAAACAATGAAATTTCATGGGCCATAGAAGATGCTAGTGAAGCCTTTGCTGGACTCACAAGTCTTACTAAATTGTATGTATTTATATGAAAGTGTCTTTTCAAGAACAAGTTGTAAATGTGATTGGATTTTGATATGGTCAGAAATTCTGAACATTCTGGCCCCTCTGCTAATGAAAGGAGCTTTGTTATATATCAAGTAGTTTGTTTTTTGTTTTTTTAGGCTGCCAAAATTTTTATTCAGATATTAAAGCATTTTGAGTAATAACTTATCCCACATCTYATTAAAAAGGGATATGGAGCTACGTTTTTTTTAATTAGTTGCTCAAGATAATACAATGATCTTGACATATCATACATTTGATTCAAATGGGGTATGAATTCTCATTTTTCCATGTGTGCAGATTGCAGGATCACATTGGTCAAGTAGTTTGTTTTTAATGGGGCATTTTTTGTTAGCAAAGCATTCCTATGAGCACTTAGAGAAGTTACTTATAGAACTTGAATTTCTATTCAAGTAAAAGAGATCACTGAGAAACTATAGTTGAACAGGAAGTGTGTTTAATCAAGTSAAATTTTTATAAGTTAATTCATCTAGAAGAAGGAAAGAAGATTCTCTCATGTTGATTTTAGATCTTCCATGAGAAGAGTTTCTCCAAATGTTTACACTGGCTTAATTTCTTTGGCCTCATGATCTTTTGTTAAAGAGTGAGAAATGGGAAATTTAACCTATTTAATCATAAGAAAACTGCCAGTTTCTTAGTGGCCAGGATGGTTGTTCAGAAGTATTTCATTGAACTCCAGCATCTTAATAATAGAAGCTTGGATTGATTAATAAGTTCATAAGTTCTTAAAAATGCTTGTTCTAATCAAATTCTACACTCTGAATATGTGCAGTTTTTTGTTTATCAATTATACTTCAATAAAGCTGTTAAAATATTTAAAAAATGCATATTAAGCTTATTTTCACATTTTAAAGGTAAATGTCTAATGAATATAATTTTATTTCAGAATCTTGCAAGGAAATCAGATTAAGTCAGTTACAAAGAAAGCATTCGTTGGTCTTGAATCCCTTGAGCATTTGTAAGTTTTGCATAATTTACTCACTATATAAATAATCTTCACTGTTAGTAGAGACTGTCACAAGCATTTAAAATATTTATATAAGCCTAGTGTGGTGATATACACCTATAATACCTGTGATTTAGGAGGTGGAAGCAGAGAGGCTCACAAGTTCCAGGCCATCAGTAGTGAAACTCTGTTTCAAATAAAAATGAAGGGCCGGGGGCCATAGTTCAGTGGTAAAGCATCTCTGGATTCAACTCTCAGTACAAAAAGAAAACAATAATAACAACAAAAAGTCAAGTGTTTGTGTAACTTAATTGTAGAAATGTGACTGGCAATGTTTCATTTCTCTTCATTTCAGAGATTTGAACAACAATGCTATAATGTCTATCCAAGAAAATGCTTTTTCTCAGACTCACTTGAAAGAACTGTAAGTAACTTAAGTGTTTTCTTTTATAAATTTTAAAAAATCACCAGATTACTATCCATGCTTGTGCTTTTTTTTTTTTTTTTTAATGCTTGTGCTTTGAAGTGTGATGAAGGTGACCCAAATGTTTCCAAAAGTGTGCCATTCAGGCAGGAAAAAAGAAAGTGTAATACTCGATTATTTTAGTGCCTACCTGTAATTTAAAAATAATCAGTGCAAAGTTCAGAGTGTGTGACACTAAGACCTTCTCTTTTTGTTTGTGCGGGTTAAAATTAAGGAATCAATGTGATTTTGTCCTTTAATTTATGAGTTGAACTAAGCTTTTGTTGTAATTGTCAGAAAGGATGTCTTTACTCTGCTCAAATTACTAAAACGTTCAAATACTATTAATAGTTGCAATAGAAAAATTTATTTTTATATTCTTTTTCATTCATGATTTCTTTTATTGGTTTAGAGATTTCCTGGGGATGGGGATGGCTAGTTGGGCATTAGTATTAATTATGATCTCTGATGATTTGAATATGCAGCCAGATGTCAGAACCACTGGACTCTAGCCATTTATTTTGCCTTGTCTGGAAGCTACACATAGGATTGTCTGGGTACCAGAACTGATTCATAATAAGATAATGATAGAAATTCAAAGTAAGCTTTTATGAAACTTAGAATAATTTGACATTACTGAGACACTTTTGTTGTAGTTTATGTAATTATTGATTTATAGTGGGCTGGGAATTTTGAAAAGTGGTTCTGGACACAATTTGAGATAAAATGGAAACGTGTGAGTTTTTGTACTTCATGGGTTCAAATTCTTGCTGTATTCTTTACAGCCTATGACAGTGGGCATATATTGTCAAGCCTGAGACTCAGTGTCTCTTCTCAAAATGGAAATAGCACTTCCCTCAGGGTTATATGAAAATAAAATGAGATAATTTGTTTAGTAAAATTTTCTTTATCTACTGTGTAAGGTACTGTTCTGGATGCTGAAAGCATAATAGTAAACAAAGCGAAGTATTCTTATATAAATTTTACTAAGAAAGATAAATAATAAATCAGTAGATGGAGAATATCCCATCAGGTAATAAATTTTCTTAAGAAAAATAAAACCAGGTTAGAGGTGTGGGGATTGACAGGGATTACTATTTTAGATAAAGTAGTGAGAGGAGTCTCTTGTGAAAAATTGAGTGTTTGAACATGGATCTTAATGAAATGAAGCAGCAAAACATGTAAATATTGGATGAAGGGCTTTCTGGGCAGGGAGGAATAAATGAAATGGGGTCAAAGAGAAAAGCAGGAGCCAGATCATGTGGGTCCTAATAGGCTATGAGGAATGAGGATTTTTCTTTTTTCTAAATGCCTGAGGAAACTTTGGAGGTTTTTGAGAAAATGCTGAGCATAAAGTCTGGCACATAATAAAAGTTGAATAGGTAATATTAACCATAAAAATTTAAATATTATGGAAATCATTTTCTGTTAGATTAAAAAAAGTTTTGGGGGGTAGTGGAATATCTTGATATTTTCAATTATTTTTCCTAGCCTTAGTTAACTTGTTAGGACACAGCTTACTGCAAATAACTTTTATCTCTGTTTTGAATGCCGGTAAGAAAAGTTTGATAATTATAATTTGAGGGCCAGCAAGAAAGTTTTGACAATTGTTATAAGAACCCAATTTAAGAAATAATTTCGATAGTAGCTGAAAGCAAATATTGTAGTTTCAATCTTCAGAGTTTCATTTAGTAATTTAGAGTTGTCATAAAGATTTTTCTTGACCAAACTTTAGTCAGGTTCTTCAATCTCATAGGACTGTGTACTTTTATGTAAAATCAATTTTACCAGTTGCTAAACCAGTTTAGCAGTAACCTGTCCAGTAATGTGGTTAACCTAGGGTACCCTTGATAGCTGATCAGGTTTCTCAGGTTTTTTGTTCTAAATCATTTCCCAGTTGATGTCTGATTGCCCTGGCCTGTCTTCAGCAAGAATCCTGTTAGGTTGGTTTAGCCAAAAATCCCCTTCCCCCTTCTTCTCCTTCTACTTCTTCTAGTTCCCCACCCTTTCTCTATACTTCTTAATAATTTTCCATTTACTGACCCCATCTACTTCTTGGCTATAAAATCCCCGGTTGCCCATGGTTATTTATAGTTGAGCCTAGTTATCTCTCCCTCTTTGCAAAATCCTGCTGCATTATTCTCTATACCTATCGAGATGGTCTTGAATATCAAGTCTGCTTTACCATGATGCTTTAACAAGTATCATTGAGTAACTTTTTCTTTAACAGTTTTGGTGCTGTGGCTCGGATAGGATCAGATTCATCATTGGACCCCCGGACCTCTCACCCAGGACCCCAAGTGTACTCCTTGAAGCATTTGTTTTCATTCCTGACTGATTGATCGGGGATCCAATGGTGAGTCAGACTGGTCAACCATTGCTCCGGACAAATGTCCGTTGAAGCTGGTAAGGAGAGATTTTGATTCTGAAGAGTCTGATACTTTAGGAAGCTGGGATGAATGCCAGACTTCTTTTGAATGGTATCTGCTAGACTGGAAGGTCTTCTTTCTGGCTGTCTTTCCCTTGGGTATTATTCCCTTGCTGCCTGGGCTGGAAATCCTTCCTGGCACTCTGAGAGGCCTGTCTGTTCCCCCTATTGGATTCAGTCTTGTCTCATGTGAACCTTTCYGTCACCTGACTTACTTCTTGAATCCTCTGCCGATTATGTGCTCTGCTAATTCTGTCTACCTCCTTCTTGTTGGAACTTCATTGGCCTCTTTGGGAAGCTTAAGAGCTCCTCTAAAATTCTTACTTCTCATTGCTGTTGTTCTCCTTTCTCTTTAACCACCTTTAATTTTCTCTCCATTTCCCTAGAGTCATTTGATAGGCTCCCCTGCAAATCCCTACTTCCTATATCCTTCAGTTCACTTCTGTCAGACCTTTTCTTTCCCACTACAGCCTCTGAATCACTTGAACTCTGCCTTCCTGTCCTCCATTGGGGGCTCTCAAGGGATTAGAGACCATAGAAATAGCCTCTTGAGGCTGAAAACAAAAATGGCTGAATGAAAATAGAATAAATATTTTATTTATACTCAGATGGGCTTTAGAGATACTCTGATAGTCCCTAGATATCTCTTTAGCCGTCATAAGATCATGTATCAAGCAAAAGAAAATCTTAAATGTCTCCTTCACAAATATAACAATTCCCTCTCATCTACAAGGGATATGTTCCAAGACCCACAGTGGATGCTTGAAATGAGGATTGTACCAAACCTATCTATACTGTACTTTTTCTTATGTCTTGCAACATTGCCACATAGTACCAAAGTTTGTCTGTCCTTCCATGTTTATGACCTGGTGCCTCCTTTGCGTCGTTATTCTTGTCCTCTGAGACATTATCAAGTAATATAGGGATTACTTGAACACAAGTACCATGATAACACAGTTGATCTGATAACTTAAGATGACTACTAAGTGGATAGCATATACAGTGTGGCTACACTACACAAAGGGATGATTCATGTCCTGGTTGGAACAATGGGAGATTTTATCATGCTATACACAATGGCACACAATTTAAAATTCATGAATTGTTTCTTTCTGGATTTTTCTATGTAATATTTTTGACTATGGGTAACAAACTGGAAAGTAAAACCATAGATAAGAAGGTGGACTACTGTATTGGTAAACAAGTGATTTTTATCCATTTTTGTCAGAAACGTAACTTAGTGGGTTTTCTTTTTGGTGCTGGGAATTGAACCTAGGGCCTTCTGCTTGCTGAACATGAGCTCTGCCACTGAGCTTTACTCCTGGCCTGTAGTTTTGTTTTTTAATTTAATTTTTTTTTATTGTTGGTTGTTCAAAACATTACATAGTTCTTGATATATCATATTTCACATTTTGATTCAAGCGGGTTATGAACTCCCATTTTACCCCGTATACAGCTTGCAGAATCACATTAATTTTTTTTTTTTAAATGCCAGAGATCAAATGCAGGGCCTCCTCATCTAAGCAAGGAGCTATGTCCACAGCCCTCTACAATATTTTTAATGCTTGCCTTTATCAACAAAAAAGATAATGAATATGATAGACTAGCTTTATTTAAYGTCTCATGAAATTTTTACAAACAGTTGAAGCATAATTGTTAAGTAAGGCCTGGGGATATGGCTCAAGCGGTAGCGCGCTCACCTGGCATGCGTGCGGCCTGGGTTCGATCCTCAGTACCACATACAAACAAAGATGTTTTGTCCCCCGGAAAACTAAAAAATAAATATTAAAAAATTCTCTCTCTCTCTCAAAAAAAATTAAGTAAATTAAGTAGATATAAGTGGAATAAAAGTTTATAAATGAACTTTTTAACAATAATTGTTTTTTTAAAAATTTTTATTTTTTTAGTCATACATGACATAGAATGCATTTTGACATATAATACATACATGGAATGTACATAACATCAATCAAATTCTCTATTCTGCTGCCCTTCCTATCCTCCCTCCTCCTCCCCTCCTCTCCCATCTTTTCTCTCTATCCAATCTAATGTGACACACTTTTTTAAAAAGTTTTTCTCATTACAACATCATATATGTATTCTGTATAACAGTGAGGTTCTCCTTCCATCTTCTGTGTAACTCCCCTTCTCCCTTTTTTTCCCTCCCACCTCTCTTCCCTATTTAGTGGTAGTCTTCTTCTCATGCTCTTCCTCCCTACCCCATTTTGAGTCACCCCCCTTATATCAGAGAAGACATTCGGCATTTGTTTTTTAGGGATTGGCTAACTTCACTTAGCATAATCTGCTCTAATGCCATCCATTTGCCTGCAAACGCCATGATTTTATTATTTTTTAGTGCTGAGTAATATTCCATTGTGTATAAATGCCACATTTTTAATCCATTCATCTATTGAAGGRCATCTAGGTTGGTTCCACATTCTAGCTATTGTGAATTGTGCTGCTATAAACATTGATGTGGCTGTCCCTGTAGTATGCTCTTCTTAAGTCTTTTGAGTACTACTTGAAAATAGTTTGAAAAACCTGTTTGGTATTTTAAAACATTAAAGCTGTACCATTGCTGGGCATGGTGGCACTCAGCATTTTGGGAGGCTGAGACAGGAGGCTCACGAGTTCAAAGCCAGCCTCATCATTGGCGAGGCTCTACGCAACTCAGTGACCCTGTCTCTAAATTAAATATACAAAATAGGGCTGGAGATGCAGTTCAGTGGTCGAGTGCCCCTGAGTTCAATCCCCTGTACCTCCCTGCCCCCCCCCCAAAAAGCTGTACTGCTAAGTAAATGGTTATTTATTGAATATGTAGATCATTTACCAAACTGAGATATCAATTGCTGAATATAAGTCTAAATTTATCTACTTTTGGCTTTTTAGATTTTATAGAAAACCAGGTATATTTGGATTAAAAATGTGACCTGTACAACTCTGATTAAGCATATGCTTCTAAAAATTATAACAAGATATATTCATAAATCTTAATTTATAGAATATTGGTGTATTGCAGTTTACCTTTTTTATTTCCTAGTTTTCATTAGAAATAAAGATTATGAAGTGTCAGCAATTCTAATTAATTTATGCAAATGAATAATGGTAAGAATGTGTAAGATCTGAAGATATAGTTCATTGAGGGAAAAAATAATTTATGTTAGTATGGAGATTGTTGTTGTTTATTTTTTTGCAGTGCTGGGAACTTTACAAATAAGCTACATCCCTAATCCCTTTTTTTTWAWATAGGGGACAAGAACTGAATGGATATAGGAGGTTGGGATGAGACAGAATTATCTCATGTGGTTAAACTGTCTACAATTGAATGATTTATTATTATAATGGGAGGTGTGTGTGTGTCTCTGACTCTGTCTTGTCTCTCTTTCTCCCTCCCCCTGTCTCCTGTCCTGGGGATTGAATTTAGGGATATTCTATCACTGAACTATATCCTCAGTTATTTTATCAAAATTKGAGACTGAGTCTTGTTAGATTGCTTAGGGTCTTGCTAAATTGCTGAGGCTGGCCTGGAATTTGAGATTCTCCTGCCTCAGCCTCTTGGATCTCTGGAATTGTAGGCTTGTATCWACACATCTGGCTTATAAAGGTTTTATTTATTCATTTGGTACTGGGGATTGAACCCAGGGGTACTTTACCATTGAGCTAATCCCCTACTTTTTTGTTTTACTTTTTATTTTGAGATAGTGTCTTGCCGAGTTGCTAAGAACCTTGCTCAGTTGCTGAAGTTGGCCTTAAACTTGTGATCCTCCTGTCTGAGCCTCTCAAGTAGCTGGGATTACTGGCATGTACCACTGCATCTGGCCTTATAATTTTTTTTTAACTTTTTTTTTTTTACTTATAACTGGACACAATATCTTTATTATATTTATTTATTTTTATGTGGTGCTGAGGCTCGAACCCAGGGCCTCACATGTGCTAGGTGAGCACTTTACCGCTGAGCCACAACCCCAGCCCCTTTATTAACAGTTTTTAATATCAGTAGTGCGTCTGTGAAAAATTAAATCTAATTTTATTTTAGCAAAGATGTGTTTTCTTTTTATTTTATTTTTTTGGTACTGGGAATTGAACCCAGTGGTACTTAACCACTAAGCCACATCCCCAGCCCTTTTTATATTTTATAGAGACAGGGTCTTGCTAAGTTGCTGAGGCTGGCTTTGAACTCACAAGATCCTCCTGCCACARCCTCCCAGCTGCTGGGATTATAGGTATGTGCCAGTGTGCCAGGCCTGACAGTTGATTTGAACAAACTATTATAGTAACTCTGGTGAAAAAAATTTTTAATTGCAAAGCTTTGGTTGCTTTTTGGTTACTTGAAATCTTAAATTACAGTACTTTTTTTTTTTTTTTGAACAGGGGATTGAACGCAAGGGCGCTTAACCACCAAGCTACATCCCCAGCCCTTTTTATTTTTTGAGACAAGGTCTCACCAAGTTGCTGAGGCTGGCTTTGAACTTGTGATTCTTCTGCCTCAACTTCAAGAGCTGCTTGGGATTACAGATGTGCACTACTGTGCCTGGCTATACTACTTTTTAGGTCAACATTTATTAAAATCTGTGCTTTTTAGTATTACTTGCATTGCTTTTTATGAATATATTTAGGTAGACGAAAGAGTTATATATAAATTGAAAAACAGTTTTCATTACAATTATATACTTATAGTAGAAAAATTATAAAATACAGTTAAACCAAGAAGGAGAGAAAGAGTCCTGAATCCTCACTACTCAAAGACCTGTTAATATTTTGGTGTGTATTTCAAACACTTACTGGGAGAATGCAGTATACTCTATTAGGTGCTTGTGTGCAGGGTCTGTTAGTATATGAAGGATGGAAAGCAAAAGAAATACAAGTGAAGAAACTACTGTGAATTAAGTATTTTATGTGGCCAGGTACTGTGCTAAATGCTTTATTAAAAATGATTTTTTGAGGTAAACATTCTCATTTTTATTTTTCAGAAATAAAAACTGGGATTTTGGAGCATGTAGTATGTTGTCTAAGGTTGGTCGTGGAGTTAGGATATGAGCCCAGTTTATATTAAACCTAAGAAAACATAAACCAAACCATGTCACTCCTCTAAGCCTTTCAGTGTCTTCCTGATACATTGAGGGCTTAAAAAGTAAAACTGAAGTTATTTTTAGTTGTAGATGAACACAATACTTTTGTTTATTTAAGGTTTTTGTTTCTTTGTTTTTTGTTTTTTAAGTGTGGTGCTGGGGATCAAATCCAGTACCTCATGTGCTAGGCAAGTGCTCTACCACTTAGCCTCAGCCCCAGCCCTGAAGTTCTTTCATTAGTTTATTTACTTTTGGGTACTGGGATTGAACCCAGGGTTACCTTACCACTGAGCTACTTTCCCAGCCCTTTTCATTTTGAGACAGGATCTCACCAAGTTGCTTGGGGCCTTGCTAAATTGGAGCTGGCCTCAGACTTGTGATCCTTCTGCCTCAGTCTCTTGAGTAGCTGGGATTACAGGTGTGCATCACTGTGCCTGGCTCCTTTCGTTAGTTTATAATGCACTTATTCCCTGCCCAGCCCTCTGACTTCATTCCTGTCACTATCCCTTTGCTTTATACTAGATGATCTCCTTGCCTTTTTGGGGGGATGTGAGGGGCTGGTGGTCTTGCTATGTTGCCCAGGCTGGTCTTAAATTCCTAGGCTCAAGGGATCCTCCTTCCTCGGTTTCCTGAGTGCGGGACTATAGGTGAGTGTCACCACACCCAGCTGGCCTCATTGATTTTGGTAGAGCAAACTAAGCTTATCTGCCTCAAGTTCTTTGCATGTGGTTTCCTCTATCTGGGTGGGATACTCTTAAGTCAGATCTTTGCACCATCTGCCCTTTCACCACTTTCAGGTCTTTGACCAACTGCCATCTCTTCAAAAAACTTTTCCTGACTACTTTATCTAAACTAGTAGCTTCTGTCTCTTATGTCTTTGCCTAGCTTTGTTTTTCTTCATGGCACTTAACACTTTTCTGACATTGTATTTTGCATTTATTTATTGCTAATTTCTGACATTGTATTTTGCATTTATTTATTGCTAATTTGACTCTAGATACGTACAAAAGCTCCATGAGGAGTTTGTGCCCAAGCCTAGAACAGTGCCTGGCATATAGTGATAGACTTTCAAATATTTCTCCATGAATGAATGAATGAATAAATGAATGAATGAATGAATGAAAAGTACTTAAAAATTCTTAAATGCAAAAGGGAACTATGGTTTGTTTAGTTAAAATTACCCTTGAAATATGGATTTTTTGAGTTACCCTTAAACACTCTGTGGAACAGACTTGTAGATACTTTATACCAGACTTTAAACCTAGATGAAGATTATGATCATACACACAAAGCAGGTTACAGTCTCAAAATTATTTGCTTTCCTTTCTTCTAAGTCATCAGGAGATTTAAGAGGTCATGGAGAATGGTGATTTTTCAGATATATGTTATACTCCTGTTGTAGGTCATAAATCATATTTTAGTGGCTCTTAGTCTAAGTTGCAGTAAACATTACCATAAGGCAGAAGTATTTTTAGTTTTGATGAAATTTGGAAATAATTGTATACTCTTTACAACAAAGATCTCTCACTGTTCTAAAATACATAGTGAGCCTTTGCCCTCTTTTCAAAATTTTCAAAAATTTAAACCTCAGAAGTTTAAAAGGRACAATGAATGCCCCCTACTTTGATTCACCAGTTATTAATTAATTTTTTTTTTTTTTTGCCACATTTATCTGTTTCCCTTCTTCCTCTTGTTGGCTCTGGGACTTGTTCTCACTTTTGCTTTCTTGCCACACACATGGATATTTGTATACACAATTGTTCTGTGTGTGTGACCATTTAAAAGCTGTAGACATCATAACACCAGTGTTTAGAAATAGTTCACAAATTTCCCTGTTGTCAAAAAATGTYTTTTTTAGATGTATTTTTTTCCAGTTAAGAATCATATTGGGCTGGGGCTGTAGCTCAGTTGTAGAGTGCCTGCCTTGCATGTGTGAGGCACCACTACAGGTATGCACCACTACTTTTGACTTCCTCAGCACCACATAAAAATGAATAAATAACGATATTGTGTTCATCTACAACTAAATAAATATTTTTTTAAAGAATCATTTTATTGGGTTATAGTGGCTTTTTAGTCTTCTTTAAAATGGTTCCCTCGGGGCTGGGGATGTGGCTCACTCGGTAGCATGCTCACCTGGCATGTGTGGGACGCTAGGTTCGATCCTCAGCACCACATAAAAATAAAATAAAGATGTGTCCACCGAAAACTAAAAATAAATATTTTTAAAAAATGGTTCCCTTGCTGTTGTTTCCCCCTTTTTGATGTTCTTCACTTTTAGGATTAGATTCAGATGAAACATTTTGGCAAGAAAAATGCATGAAGGTTTTAATACCGAAGAAACTTAATATTGAAAAGTAAAACAAAGGGTACTTTTCCTCTTTTTTCTGCAGGATTCTAAACACAAGCAGTTTGCTCTGTGACTGTCATTTGAAGTGGTTACTTCAATGGCTGATTGATAATAACTTTCATCATTCTGTAAATGTAAGCTGTGCACATCCTGAATGGCTAGCAGGGCAAAGCATCCTGAATGTGGACCTGAAAGATTTTGTCTGTGGTTTGTATTTTTGTCTTAAAATTTTATATATTACTTATTTAACTGTATTAACAGAATTAAAAAGAAAAGAACCACTAGCTTTCCCACTAGCATATCTATTTCCATTTTTCTGTGTTATTCTCTAACCTGGGTTTCAGTGATTATATTTTAATAATCATAGGTTAAATTTTGTGTTCTTTGATTTAATATTTCATAAGCAGTTTTTCCCTCTGTCATCTTACTTGTTTTTTCAGTGCTAGGAATCGAACCTAAAGCCTTGTACATCACTCTACCACTGAGCTATGTGCCCCAGTCCACCTCTGTGTATTCTTTATTTTTTTGAGATAGGTCTCACTATGTTGCCCAGGCTATCCTTGAATCTGGGCTTAAGTGATCCTTCTGCCGAATCAATWA